CTCATTTTCGTTCACTGAACACGCGTCCACTTACGATAGATCAACATAAACAATACCGTATCTAAAGCACATAACAAATTTCCTTCGATAATTTGCGGTATTAACAATTGGTCTGTGTAGGCTTGGCTAAGCCCACAATACAATTGAATTTGCGGAATAATCACAAAAAATCCACTCCACAAACCGAACCATATCGTGTTTTTGAGTTCTGGTTTTGAGCATTTGATTTGTATATAGTTATACATCCACAATTGAATAAAATACGTCACCGATAATATTCCCATATACTTCACACCCATCTGCTCTGGTGTCATTCGCCAATGGTCAGCTGGATATAAATCGGTCAGAAAATAGCGATGGGTGGGCACATCAATCAATAAAACAATGACGGCACAAATAAAAGATACAAGGGTAAATTTTTTCCAGTCAATAGGTTCTTCGTAATTCATAAGCGCTCCTCATTAATTTAGTTATACAATCTTCAAGGCTAACATCACAAAGCGTTCAGAACATTGATCGCTTCATCAAATACACCTCGGTTTTCCAGCGTCGCATGGCTTCGCAGTGCCGCATACCCAAAATTGATACGGCACACTGACAGTCATCAACACAAAAATGTTAGGCCTTTATTATCAATAATATAAGCAAAACACCAAGAACAATACCACAAGTTCCCTCATCATACATCGACTATTAATGAAGAAATCATCCTCCAAGGGGTAATATCATACAAACGGACGTGATATTTGAGGTGTATAGATCTATGAAAATTACCGTATAATCTCGCCATTGGATATTTTTTAGTAAGATATTCAATCGTTCCTATCTCATTTTTCATGACAACGTTTTCCATGTCAACACATACCTCCATCCTCCAATCTGCCAAGCGTATTGTTGTTAAAGTTGGCTCTAGTCTTGTAACCAATATGGGGCAGGGTATCAACCCCGAAGCCATTGCCAGTTGGGCCAAACAAATCCATGCTTTACGCCTTGATGGACGTCATGTGATTTTTGTTTCGTCTGGAGCAATCGCCGAAGGTATGAAACGGCTTGGCTGGGACAAACGTCCTTCTGAAATCAATGAATTACAAGCTGCCGCTGCCGTTGGACAAGTTGGCTTGGTCGCTAGCTATCAAGCAGCATTTTCGCAATACAAGATGCAAAGTGCGCAGGTATTACTCACACACGATGATTTACGTGACCGCGAACGTTATTTAAATGCACGTCTAACCTTGATGACTTTACTTGATCTTGGTGTTGTCCCCATCATTAATGAAAACGATACCGTGGTCACGGACGAAATTAAGTTTGGCGATAACGATACGCTGGGTGCGTTGGTAGCCAATCTTACCGAAGCTGATTGTTTGGTCATTTTGACCGACCAAACAGGCTTATACACAGCTGACCCACGCAAAGACCCTCATGCCAAGCTTGTCAAAGAAGGTATCGCTGGTGATCCTCAATATGAAGCCATGGCAGGTGGTGCTGGCACACAATTTGGCAAAGGAGGCATGATTACCAAAATTTTGGCCGCTAAACGCGCTGCGAGCAGTGGCGCACACACCATCATCGCACCAGGCGCTGAACCTAATGTACTTGTCAGAATGGCAAACGGAGAGAGTATTGGCACTCAACTTTTGGCACAAACACAACTGCTTTCGGCTAAAAAACAATGGATGGCAGATCACTTACAAGTCAAAGGCTGGGTGGTCATTGACGAGGGTGCTGAACAAAAAATCCAACATGAAGGAAAATCATTGCTATCCGTTGGCATCATCGACGTTCATGGTGATTTTACACGGGGAGAAGTGATTCTCTGTAAAAATCAAATAGGTAGAGAGATCGCACGTGGGATATGCAATTATGACAGCGCCGAATGTCGTTTGTTGCTGGGCAAAAACACCAGTGACATTGAGACCATCCTCGGCCGTCCAGGTGAACCTGCACTGATCCATCGCGACAATATGGTGTTGTCATAAAAAGCCTTACCAATCTTAAACCAACTTGTTTTCAATAGATTAGAAAACAACCCGCGCATATCTTGGCAATGATATAATCGTCGATAAAGGCGCGACACACCCGAAGTAAGCCCGTTCATTTCCTGAAATAGCGTTTCATCATGAAAAGGTATGCGTTATTTTCCTACTTGAACAAGATGAGGAATAACGCCGTGATGAGGTGCGATCTTACTTAAACTTTGCTGGTCAACTTCAAAAACCAAAAATTTACTCAATATTAGCATCACAAGATTTAACATGAATACTTATTTAGATAGTCCTAATTTCCCAGCGTTTGATCAATACCAAACAAAAGACATTGAACCAGCGATAGATCAATTATTACGCCAAGCAGAAAATGCAATTCATACTGTTGAAAATACACAAGAAACATCTTGGGACACCATCGTTAGCCCTCTCGAAACAGCAACGGAACAAATTTCAAAAGTTTGGGGCGTTGTCAGTTTGCTAAATGCCGTCGTTGATACGCCTGAACTTAGAGAGGTTTATGCCCAAGTGCAACCTAAGTTGACAGATTTTTGGACACGGCTGGGTCAAAACATGGCTATTTTTAAAAAATATCAACAGCTTGATTCCCTGGCTCGAAAAGATGACATCGTTTTAGATGCGGCGCAGCAAAAGGCGATCCATAACGCGCTGCTCGATTTCCGCTTAAGTGGTGCTGAACTGGCACAACCTGAGCAACAACGCCTGCTGGAAATTAAAACTCGCCAAGCAGAACTCTCTCGCAACTTTTCCGATCATTGTTTAGATGCTAATAACGCCTATCGTTATGTCGTGCATGATGCCGATGAAGTGCTTGGCATTCCTGAAGATGCTTTAACACAAGCGGCTGATCTGGCTAAAACACATGACCAAACTGGCTGGATGTTTACCTTGCAGTTTCCCAGTTATTTCCCTGTCATGCAATACGCACAAAACCGTGCCTTACGTGAAACCCTCTACAAAGCCTACGTGACTCGCGCATCAGAGCTTGCCGCTCAATATGCAGGCGGTGAGCTCGATTGGGACAACACACCTCTCATGAAAGAAATCTTAGCTTTACGCCAAGAAGAAGCCCGTTTATTAGGATTTGACAACTATGCTCAATTATCGCTCAAACCCAAAATGGCTGACACACCAGAACAAGTGATCGCCTTTTTGGAAGATATGAGTCAAAAAGCTCGTCCCTTTGCGCTCCAAGATTATGCACAAGTCGAAGCTTTGGCCAAAGACATGGGTATAGACACCGTGCAACCCTGGGATCTGACCTTTGTCTCTGAGATACTGCGTGAAAAACAATACAGCTTTTCAGAACAAGAAGTTAAACAATACTTTACTGAGAGCAAAGTCTTACAAGGGTTGTTTGCTACTGTCGAGCAACTCTTTGGCGTACGCCTTCAAAAAGCCGCAGGAACAACTTGGCACCCTGATGCCCATGCCTACCAAATCGTCGATCAACAAGGTCAAGTCATTGCACATTTTTATTTAGATCTCTATGCAAGGCAAGGTAAGCGCAGTGGTGCTTGGATGGGAGATTTGCAGGGGCGACGTTTAGTCGGTGAACATTTGCAAAAACCGATTGCCTATTTAGTTTGCAATTTTGGCTCTCCTGTTGGTGGCAAAGAAGCGACGTTTACACACGATGAAGTTATAACGTTATTTCACGAATTTGGACATGGTTTGCATCATATGTTGACCGAAGTCAACACATTGGCCGTTTCGGGCATTAATGGTGTTGAGTGGGATGCCGTTGAGTTGCCTTCGCAATTTATGGAAAATTTTTGCTGGGACTACCCCGTCCTCGAAAAAATGACTTCCCACATCGATACAGGAGCCGCGCTCCCCAAACCTTTATTTGACAAGATGTTAGCCGCCAAAAACTTCCAAAGTGGTTTACAAACCATCCGTCAGATGATTTTTTCTATCGTTGATATGAAGTTACACAGCGACTATGATGTCAAGCAGCCTGCAAGTGCCATTAACCCTTATGCAAAAAATATCAATGACTTATATGCAGCCACACCACAACTTCCCTTTAACCGTTGGCCCAATACCTTTAGCCATATTTTTGCAGGGGGCTATGCAGCGGGGTATTACAGTTACAAATGGGCCGAAGTCTTGTCCAGCGATGTTTTTGGAGCCTTTGAAGAAGCAGCGCAAAGTGGTGCGCCATTGGTCAACCCCAGTGTTGGTGCCAAATATCGACAAGAAATTTTGGCCGTTGGCGGTTCTCGCCCTGCCCTTGAATCATTTATTGCTTTCCGAGGTCGCGAGCCAAGTCCAGATGCCTTACTACGGCATTCAGGAATGGCAGCCTAACTCTTATTGATCACCAAAATTTAAACATGAAACACAATCAATTAACCCTACGTTTGATTTTCACCTTAACCACAAGCCTTGGAGCGAGCTTTGCATGGGCTGACGATTGCTCGGATCGACTTCGTTCAAATGTCGTCGGTCGTGGTGTCTCTGCTGATACCTACGATCAAGTGATGAGCACCTTTGAACCTAATATGAAGGTCACAGAACTGCAAAATTACCAACCCGAATTTAAAACCGCTGTGTGGGACTACATGTCAGCTTTAGTCGATGACGAACGTGTCAGTGATGGGCGCAGCCAAATGGCAAAATACCAACAAGCACTTGCACTTGCCGAGTCGCGTTATGGTGTGCCACGCAATGTGATTGCAGCGGTTTGGGGTGTTGAGTCTGATTTTGGCAAAAAACTTGGCAAACTCCCATTAGTTCAATCGCTTGCCACTTTAGCTTGTTATGGTCGACGCAGTGATTATTTTCGTAGT